TGATGCAAAACGATTCCAGCAGTCGCTCAGAAACGACGACAACAACAGCAGAGAAACTCACACAAATGAACGTAGAACTGCAACAGACGCACAAAACGCAGCAACGCAGACGTGAAACCACAAAGAGACACAAAGCAACGAGTCGTAACGCTACAGCGACACAAAACAACCGCAAAGAGACACAAAATGATCACAGAGAGATAAAACGCAACAAAGAGACACAAAACCACTAAAAAAAAGATGCAAAACGACCAAAAAAAGACCAAAACTAGACGCAAAAAACCCACAAAGAGCTGCAACAGAACCACAAACGCACAAAACTACACCAGAGACACGTAAACCCAACACGACGCCGCGGTTCTGGACCCTCTGAGGTTCTGGTGTCGTTCCAGTGTCGGCCCGGTGCTGTGTTCTGGTTCCGTCTGCTGATGCTTTGGCGTTGTTCTGATGTTGTTCTAATGTTGTTCTAATGTTGTTCTAGTGTTTTGTTGTTCTGGGACTGTCCTGGTGTGGCGTTCTGGTGCTGGTCTGGTACTGGTGCTGCTCTTGGGTTTGTTCTGATGTGCTGGTGTTTATCTGATGCTGGTTATTGTGTTCTGGTGTTTTAATGTTGTTCTGCTGTTCTGGTGCTGGTCTGGTGGTGTTCTGTTGTTGTTCTGGTACCGGTACTGTTCTTGGGTTTGCTCTGGTGTTGCTCTGCTGTTCTTGTGTTCTGGTGCTGTTCTGGTGTCGTGGTTCTCTAGTGTTCTGTTGTTGTTCTGGTGTCATTCTGGTACCGTATTTGGGTTTGTTCTGGTGTTCTTCTGCTTCTAGTGTTGTGTTGTTGTGGTTCTGTTCTGGTCTTGCTGTCTGGTTCTGGTGTTGTGTTGTCTGGTACCGTTCTTGGGTTTGTTCTGGTGTTTTGGTGTTCTGGTACCGTCGTGGTATTGTTGTGTTGTTCTCTTTCTGGTGTTGTTCTGGTTCTGGTACTGTTCTGGTGTTGTGTTGTTCTGGTTCTGGTGTTGTTGTGGTTCTGGTGCTGTCGGGTCCACGCCCAGCGGCCGTCTATCCGTCCGTCCGTCCGTCTGCCCGCCGCCGTATCGCCGTCCTTTCCGCTCCATTGTTTGCGTCCAGCAGCTTCCGCGATGCCCTGCGACCCTCTTGAAGAAGCCGGTTTCCTTTCGCCCGCCGGCCGCCGGGGCTGCTGGGTATTTATGGAAGTCGCTGAATCACTTCCCACTTTACCCCAAGTGGGTTTCCTCGTGTGTGTGCTTGTGATGTGGACGGCGTGTGAGGCTATTTGCGTCCCGAGCTGGCGAGATGGAAACGCGAACAACATCCGGCCCCAGATCCCATTCGCTGACTTACATTCGCTTCCTGGAGACGAAACCTTCGGCTAACCTAAAGCTAACCTTCCTTCAACCGAGTCCGAAACGGTGACGATCTACGTCAGACCGAGTCCACGTTCGAGTCTCCTGACGGGCATCGAGTGGCCACATTTAGACCCGGTCCATGACTAACCCGGGTTCTCCTGCTGTGCTCTAGTATCCTGGAAACCTTCTGTCACAACATCCTACAGCGAGCCGTAAGTCACAGCGACACGTCAAACCAACGCTGTTACCGTAATGTTGGTGTCAGAAAGCCGGAAACTAGGTTTGACAACAACGTGGAGCAGACGTGGAAGAAGAGTCGGCAGGTTGTCTGGAGATCTGACTTTACATTCAGCCGAATTCATTCAAAATAAATGTGAAACTGCTTAAAACGCATAAACACAACCCAAAAAACTACCACAAATACACACGACACCACCGTGAAACCGCTACAAAGACGAATAAATGGACCACGTTGGACGCAAATGACACCAAATGGACAGAAAAGACGAACAAATAGATTTAAAACCACAAAAATACGACAAACGACTGCAAAGATGCACCAAATGACAACAGCTACCCAAAATCATCAAGAAACTACCAGAAACAAACACAAAGCTACCACAAACAGACATAAAATATCTACAAAAGCACCAAAAACACATTAAAACAACTACAGAGATGCACGAAATGACCAGAAATAGACACAAAGGTCCCTCAGATAGATGTGGAACGACCACAAAGCTACCAAAGACATAAAGAACTACCACATAAACACACAAAACAACCACAAAGGGCAACAGAATTACCGTAAACAACCACAAATAAACACTAAAGCCCCTCAAAGGGCAACAAAACGACCAACGGCTAAACGACCACAAGACGCACAAAGCTAATGGACGCCAAACTCCCGCAATTAAATGACCAAAAGTTAACGCAAAGTAACAACAAATACACACAAAACAACCACAACTGACTCGATGTTGTACAAGAACTATAAAATAAAGATAATTTATTGTCAGTTGTGTTTCGTGTTTGACCGAATCCAGTATTTGCTCAGTTTTAGCTCCGTGTTTGGTCTCCTCCACCTCTTTGGTTCAACATCAGGCAGAAAACAGAAGATATTTTGAGGCTTGTGTGTAATTTGTGCGTCTTTTTATTGCACATTTCGTACAAAGATTCCAGCAGAACTTGTAGACAAAGTGACATAACAGCTGAAATAAAAAGGCTGCGCCCTCCGTTATCAGTGTTTGTCCTGCCGAAGGTCCAGATGAGACGATTAGTTCCTCCTGAATCGCCTCGAGTCCGTCTGTTAATGTTCACTCTTTATGGTTCTCGCCGTTTATGGGAGCATGTGACAAATCGGCTGCTTTACGAGGTTCACCGCGTCCACGTCCTCCGTCTGCAGGGGAGTGTTTGTGCTGCAGCGCTGGTGCTGTTGCCACGGTTACCTGCACATTAGCGCTGTTGCCACGGTTACCTGAGCATCGGCGCTGTTGCCACGGTTACCTGAAGTTTAACTGTTGAATTGAATCTTTGTGTTTCAAAAAAAAGAGACCAGTTTAGCTTGAAGTCTGACCAGAGAGTTTGTTCATCTGGTTTTGTGGTTGTTTTGTGTCTCTTTGTGGTTGTTTTGGGTTTCTTCTTGGTATTTTTGCACTCTTTTTGAAGTTTAGTGTGTCTTTGTGTACGTTTTGTGTGGGTTTATGCTCGTTTTGTGTCTGGTTGACGTTGTTTTGTGTCTCTTCTTGGTCTTTGCGCATCGTTTTGTGGCCGTTTTGTCTTTTTGTCGTCCTTTTCGTGTCTCATTTCTTGTCCCTTTTTGTGGTTCTTTTGCATCTTTTTGTAGTTTCACATGTCTGTTGTTGCTCTTTGTGTACGTTTTGTTTGTGTTTATGGTCGTTTTGTGTCTCTTTAGTGGACCATTTGTGTCTCTCTGTGCTTCTCTTGTTTTTTCGTGGCCCTTTATTCTCTGTTTGTGGTGGTTCTGAGCGTCTCTTGCGGTCCGACAATAAACTCTCATCAAAGCAAACGGCGACAGTCTGTCCTCTGGTTCTGTTCCTGTTTTTCTCTTCAGTAAATCACTTCCTGAAGCGTCCCGGTTGTCCTTCAAGCGACTGAACCTGTAAAAAGAGCCTCGAGCGTCAGAACCGCTCACGGACTGGCCAATTGGAAAGCGGCATTCTCTGTTGCCATGGCGATAGGTCAGGCGTTGAACAGCAGGGCAGTTCGGGGGTCAGTTTGTCCTCGTTATGGTGTCAGAAGACCTTCATATGTTGATATGTGGAGCTTTTATTTTGAAATTTACGGTATCATTGATTATGAATCTTTCGAGGCCAGAGAACGGAAAAGTAAACGTGGTTGTGACATCGTTCAGGAGGAGGCGGATGCGTTGCTACGGCGACCACACCCCACGATTCGTTATCTGAGCCGCCGCCATAAAGCGCAACTGTCGGAATAAAGTCTTATCAGCGGTTTAGATACTAAAACCAGACGAACACAGCGGGCGTGTTCCTCGGCAGGAAATGATGCGTTATGACGTCTCTGCAAACACAAGATACGAAGCCGCAGAACGAACGTTGACCCGCGGTTAATTAGAGGCTAAGACGAGGAATGGATTAAATATCTTCAGTTTGTTTGACTAAAACCAACAAAAAAAAGTCATTTCTAGATGAATGGAAGGTTTTTAGACGCTAATTCATCACTTCAGTCATAAAGTTAATGAGTTCATAAACGAACAATGAAATTTATTAATCAGTAAAGAGTGATTCATGATGTAATGTTTGCTTTGAAACGAATCGGTAACTTCAAACAGTCTGAGGACGCAGCAGATCAATAATTAACAGCTGATATTATCACCTGATAGTTGGAGCTCTGCAGTGAGAGTGAAAGTCCTCCAATATTCAGAATGAGACAAACTTCAGCACAAGATGTCACTGAAATGTGTTTATTTATGTTTTCACCTGTAACCAATCAGGGATCAGTAAAGTATTTCTGATTCTGATGTTCCTCAAAGGGCAGCTGAGCACATTTTTAAGTTATTATTTTTTTCTTAGCTCGCCTGATTTTATTACGAATCAAAATTTATTGTCAGTCGGACAAAATCTTCTGAATTCGAGGAGTCTGATGCGATTGTCTTGAACTTTTAACTCGTTAAAAGTTTGTTCGTCCTGAGTTAATAAGCAATTTGGTTCGGAGTTTTGTTTGTTTGTTTCAGCTGTGATGTTGAACTTTTGTCTGCCCCTACTGGCCGTGGGTGGAATTACACAAACACTGTGGTCGACTCGTGTTTATGCGTCACCGTCTTCTTTTTTTTAGACTTTAATGTTTCCTCTCAAGTTTAGTTTTTATTTTCATGTTTCATCAGACAGTTGTTTACGTGGTAATAAACAGTGTTTTGGCCTCCACACAGCAGGGGGCGCTGCAGGGAGACGCTAATGCAACCAGTAGTTCCTGTTTGCTAACTGACTCTATAAAAGTCAGCAAATAATAAAGTTTGATTTGTCAAATGATGTTAAAATTGCTAATGTTCATCAGTTTCAGCTCTTTTATTAGATATTTGATTGATTGATTGATTGATTGATTGATTGACTGATTGATCGATCTCCCCCCAGGTTCCTCCCTCCCCGCCCCCCCTCCCCCAGCTCCATCATGCCCATCCTCAAGAACCTCCCGGTGCGTCTGAAAGGCGGCGGTCCGACCCTCGAGAACGCTCTGATCCTGCGCAGGATGAGCCTGAACATCACCCCCCACCACCACCACCACAACCCCTTCGACAATGACGACGACATCCACGGCAACGGCGGCCACGGCAACCACTGGTCGCCGGGCAGCTCGCTCCTGGACGGCGACGTGCCGCGGGACCGCAACCCGTTCGAGGACGAGGAGGACGAGAACGAGGCCAACGAGGGGAAGAAGGGCGGCAGCGGCGGAGGAGGATCAGTGAAGGGGTCCTTCAAGTTCAAGTCGCCGCTGAAGACCCTCGGGAAGCTGGGGAAGAACCTGAGGGTGTCGGGGCGGAGCAAAGGAGGCGACACGCCCTCCCCACAGGGAACGCCCTCACCTGGGGAGAAGAAGAAGAGAGGGAGGCGGAGCTCCGAGGGGAGTCTGCTCAGGTGAGAGGGGTGACCGGTCGGGTAATGTAGGATCAGACGGACCGCTGAGTCAGAAGTTTTTATTTTAAAGGAAACTGAAACAGGAAACTCATCAACAAATGGACAAAACACTCTGATGGAAGTTTTGTAACCTTAAAACACATTTAAGTTCATGGTGAAGGGGAACGTTGGTACCAGAGGGCTGCTACATGAAGCAAGTTTACCAAATAATCTGGGTTTATTTTCGTCTGACTTACTTTCAAGTTATTTCAGTTCATTGTGAGGCTAAATGTCAGGCTAACTGTAAGGCTAACGTAAGTATCAGACTAACTGTCCAATGAACTGTCAAGCTACCTGTCAAGCTAGCTCAACTATCAGACTGTCAGACTAACTTTCAGGCTAACTGAACCATCAGACTAACTGTCAAGCTAATAACTAAACTTGCTATCAAGGTACTTGTCAGGCTAACTTTGACACAAATGCTCAGGCTAACTGAAAGGCTACCTTAGGTATCAAACAAAGTGTCAGGCTAATCTAACTATCAGACTAACTCTCAAGCTAACTATTCGACCAACTGTTGAGCTGACTGTCATGCTAAGGGTCAGGCTAACTTACCTATCAGAGTAACCGTCATACTAAAAACTAAGCTAACTGTCAGGCTAACTTTGGGGAAAATGATCAGGCTAACTGTAAGACTAACTTAAATATCTAACAAGCTGTCAGGCTAACTCTCAGGCTAACCTAATTCTTGGGCTAACTGTCAAGCTAACTTGCAAGATAAATGATGGGTCTGTCAAAGTAAAAATGGAAAGTAAACAATGTAAGTGATTGAGATGAAATGAGAGGAATGAGGGACGTTTGTAAAGGACAAGAGCGATAAAACGAGACCAGGTTTGTCTGGTGAAGAAAGTCAAGGAGTAAAGAATTAATAGTTTGATGAGACAAAGAGGTCCACAAGGACGTTTCAGGGTAAAAAGCAACGATACGAGCTGTGGAGGTAAAGAGAAATTATGAGAGTTTGTTCAAATGAACCATAAAAATCAGAGTGTTTATAGTTTGAAGGCACCGATGTTCAGAGAAAGGATACAGATAACGTCTAAATCCTTCTTCCTGTCCAGGTTTGCAGGGAAATACCGCGACACCCTCGGCTCCCGTAAGGAGTCGCTCCTGAACGGGGAGCTGAACTGTTCGGAAAGCGAGTGCGACTCGACCAGCCGCCGCCTGTCCTTCATGAAGATGGTGGGCCTGGGGAAGCTGAAGAAGGAGGCCGCAACCGACCACTCGTCGCAGGGCCCCGAGGACAAGCCGGTGCAGGAGGAGGTGGTGGACGCAGTCAAACCCCGAGAGCCGCTGTCAGGTAGAAACGAGGACTTTGTAATTAACTGGGAGCCGACGGGCCCATAATGGGTCCATGTTTCTTGCTTTTTGCTTGATTTGAAGGCTGATTTAAAATAAAAACTGCTCATCAGATGATGAAAGATCTGGATGTCCTCCAGTGTTCTCAGAAAACTTTGCAAAGTGTAAAATGTTTGGTTTTGGTGGCATTGTTGGAAATGTAATTAAGTAGTGTTTAGTTACTGAGGTCATAGTTACAGTTGGCTTCATGATGAAGCACGGCGGTGGCAGCATCATGATGAAGCACGGTGGCGGCAGCATCATGATGTGGGGATACTTTTCGGCCCTCAGTATGTTTTTACTTTAACATGAACGATGAATTCTTGTTATTTTTCGTAAACTATTAACCACAGAAGTGACACTAAATCGACCCGATTCGCTGCTGAAGACCAGTAACGGGGTGAATGCCTTTCATGGGCGCTGGACTCCAGTGTTATGAAACCAGTTTGCTATTTACTTCCGTCGCAATTCCAGAGCGGCGCTTAAAGAGGAGCTAATTTTAGGCGCCTCACTTTCCCAGTGCAACACAATGTGCCAGTGGACGGAAGCTGCACAGGCGTTTGCATTAGCGCTGGGAAACGATGGCATCCTCTCTGAAGTGCTGCCGTTCAACCCTCAGCCGCTCCTCATGTTTAGGAACAAGATGAAAATCACGAATCGCTAAATCTTGCGTTTTCAGCCCCAGATGCAGAGCTGCCCTGGTCCAGATGTTTTCGTTCTCAGTCTAAGTGTTGGTCCGGTTTGTTTGCTTACCAGCCCGCTGATCTTATCAGCGCCTGTCTGACGCTATTTTGGGCTCCGACAATGAACCCTGCAGAGAGCGTCGGGTTAGTGAAGGTGACCTCCACGAGTTGCTCTGAGATGCTGTAATTTCCACAAGGACACTGGAATCTGTTTGGGAAGTGGGTGATATAAGTATCGGGCCGGTCCTGGAAACTTTCTAAGGGCGTCTATTGTTTATCACACCCTGTTTACTCTGCCGTTTGGTAGTGAATGATTGGAGTGTGTTCTCAGTTCCTCCACACCCTTGTTTACATGTTCACACAGTTTGTCTGCTGCATTACTGCCAGAATAGTTCATTTTCTTTATCAATTAATCCGTCACTTATTCAGACGGAAGACAAACGTCCCAAAACGATGTGTCGATGTGACTTTAAACCCCGAAAACGAGACGCAGACAGATTCAGAGACGCTTCGTTTTTCTGGCAGAAAGGAATCAGAACATGTTTGATACAGAA